ACCGCTGTGGTCTTTGGAGGATGTGTCAGAAGGGGGAGGTGGGCTGACTCTTCCCAAAGATGAGGGGTATCCAGAAAGTGGAGAGAGGTCGTTGGGTAATGGAGACGGTAGCAGCCCGGTTGTAGTCCACACAGTAATGGGATTGTAAGCTACTGAGCTCAGGATCTCTGGCTGTGGTATGATAGGGACTGGATAGCTTTCATACAGGTATGGGGATATAATCACTGGAGAAAGAAGACAATTTTAAGGTAAGAGAACTAAAAATATTTCAAAAGGCAGTAAAATTAACATTTTGGGGATTAAAAGGTGCAGAACTTAAGGCTCAGTACAGTCATCTGCATAATAGGAGATTGAAAAAAAACCCAACTATTTAATACACATGTTCTGATAGCAGAGACAGCGCCCTGAACAGCCAAGTCACAGTTGGAGAGTCTCTTCTAGGCAGCATGCGTTTCTAAGTCCCTGCAGCCTGATACAATGAAGCAGTGAAACTTCCTGAAGGATTTCCATAGAAGTTTCAATTCCCCCACCACCAGGCACAGAACAGGAAAACTCCAAGCCCTCTCTGACTAACTGAGTTCAAGTGGATGAGCAAACTTTATGATTCATTCTGGGCAGCATTGCCATATTTCTCAAAACTCCCTCCTTGTATGCAAAAACGAGCTAGCCCTGATCTAACCCATTCCCCCACCCCTGAAAAGCAATCCCACCCCTCCTCCTCACCGCCCCGCGACGGCTGCGCCCTCGGAAGCAACGCGCCGGCGTTCGGTTTTGTTACCTGTATGAGTGTCCAGCTCGCTGTAATTCGGCTTCTTGGACGAATTGAAATGTTTCTTGACCAGGAAGGAGCGTGGCATTTTGGATGCAGGCTCTGTCCTCCTCGCAGGCTCTGCTGTGGGGCGGGCGGTGCGCGGGACACACACGCACGGGCTCTCACTGCCAGCGCATCGGTCCCTACCGCATCGCCTTCCCCGCGCCCTCCATCCGCCGGGCTTGTGTGGTGGCAGCGCTAGAGGCGCCTTGAAAAGTCCTGTAAATACCCACGAGTCAGGTGCAAGGCGGGGGAAGGGTTTTTCCGCTCCTCCAATCACTTCGGGATGTTCTCAAGCACTTTTTTTTTTTTTTTTCCAAACAGGCTGGGTTGTTGTTTTTTTTTTTTTCCTGGGAGGGCTCTCCGGCTGCAGGCAGGAGGGATCCAATCCCGGCTCGGAGGGTTTGGTTCAGGTTTCAGCTCCTCCCGCTGGAGGCAGCTGCGAGCGGAGGAGCGCGCTGGTGTCAGAGCGGGTTACCCTGCTGCGGGGTGGGTGGACGGTGCTCTGCGGGATCTCGGTCTAGAAGAATGTGTTGGTCAAAGTGCTTTTTTCTTAAAATAAAAAAAGAAAAAAAAAAAGAAAAAAGTAATTTTACGGCGTCAGCTGATTATTTTTGTTGTTATTTTGGTCAGAGATCTGTGTAAGTCTTAGGCACTGAAACGCTGTTTAATTTATATATATTTTAAATTTATTTATTTATTTATTTTTAAACCAGTCTGGTTTCCAGATGTTTGATACAAGAATTACAACGGAACAAACCGTTCAGGAAGGGTAGGAGGAGGGGAGGGGGACACACATTACAAGATAACAAGTTAGCCAGGACACCTAATGGAAGGCTTTGAACTGACTCGTGTGCCTGTTTCGTTTGGGAACTGCCTTTGAATACTTGTGTTTAGGAAAGGCTGGAGACGAGCAGCCTGACTCCCTAACCTGCACCCTTCCAGGAAGAGGGGCCAATGAGACACCGCAAAGGAGTTCAAGGAGAGGGAGCAGCCCTGGACAAGATTGCATTTCAGAGCAGGGTGATAGTTTTTCTAAAATGTGCATACTGCTTCAGACTGTTCTTATGACAAATACTTTGCCTTTTACTTTAAAAATCTGTACCATGCAAAACTTCAACCCTTCCTTCCTTGGGAGTAGTTATGTCACTGTTTTGCCTATCCTCTTAGGGCACTGCCAAGGAAATTTTCCTCATTATCCAAAGCAGTTAAAAGATGCACAGATAAGCATAAACCCCCAAATTATAGACTGCATAATTTAAATGTCTCTTAAATGTCCTTCTCCATCAGTATATTTAGGACCTCTTGATTTCCTATGAAGGTATAATCTGTATTAAGCATTTAATTTAGGATGAAAGGCTCATAAATGTGCCACAGAATTTTTTGGTTATCTAGCTTGACTTCGAGGAGATGTTTACTCACAGATAGTTGTTGTTTTTTTTTTTTTTAAAAAAAAGTGAAGTGTTTGTTTTTATAAATACGAACAGCTGAATGCTGGCAAAATTTCTAACCCAAATTACACTCTGATTGACTCTTGGTCTGCCATCCCCACCCCTTTCACCCCCCCGCTTTGTGTTTTAACTCCACCTGCCTGGGCACATACAGGTATGCTGGGCCGGCATGCCGCGAGGGCTCTGTCGTGTCAGGAGGAGGTGTGGAGGGGTGTTTTACAGAGACCACCCCAGCCTTTTTTTGCAGCAGGTGTTGGAGTAGACATGGAAGAAAAAAAAATAAAAAATCCCTCTGGTTCTGTTAAGACATGTAAGAGTAAAGTGCTTTGTCAAGCTGCGTGACTTCTTAATCTGGGGGATGCCAAAACAAGTGCAGGGAAAGTTAGTCTTTTTGAAGAACTGGTTAAAAAGATTCAGCTGTTCACCATCTAACTCTGGAGTCTGCTGGTGAAAGGTGTCGCATGGATTTCCAAGCTGCAGGGAACACACCCAGGCTACAGGAGGAAAGGGAAAGTGGCAAAGACAGGGACTTCCCAGGTACCTGCTTTGCAGCTGGAGCAGAGGAACAGACTCAGCTCTCTCCAGAAGGGAGCGCAGTGCTTGCAGAGGCACAAGCCGTTGCTTTCCTCAACTCCAGAGAAATAAAGAATTCCACAAAGCATTTTTAAAGGTTGCATTTGTGGTCCTGCTCCCCTCTCAGCTCTGTTCCATCTGAGAAGTCCCCATCCCCTGCCAACTCTGGGAAAGCATTTCATTTCAGGATGTGAGGCATTAGCCTGTATCTAAACAGTCTGCTACATAAGCTGTGATTCAGACCTTGAGCTGGTTTAAGTTTGTGTGTCGAAATGAATGGAGCCATGCAGATTTTCACTGGCTCGAGATCTGTTCTTTTATATGTTTGTTAAAAGTAAAGGGTCTGATTCACCAGTGAGGTACTGCCTCTCGGGGCATTTTCACCAGCATAACACTGGAGTGATGCAGTTTAAATTAATTGCACTTATATAAATCACAGGAACGTAAGCAGTTAGCCCACTGGCTGAGCTGATTGAAGGATGTTAGGAATTGGATAGAAGGCATGTTATTACATGGTCCTGAAAGGATATTAGCAGCACATACTACCTGAGTGAGGTCTGCTGTCAAGAAAAGGGAGAGTCTGCTTAAGGAGTAGTGGGTGAGTCAGAGTAAACAGGTGTTCTGGGTGTTTATGGGAAAAGTGGATGAGAGGGCACTCAGAGACGTGCAGCATCCATCCCCCTGCAAGAAAGGCAAGACAAAGGTCGAGTGCAGAAGATGGGAAGTTGCCTCTCCTTGGGGAGGTGTGGGGACTGTGGAGGGTAGCTGATGGCTCTGAAGGTCATGCTGCCTGTGGGTAAAGGCTTACACCCACCTCTGAAAAAACAGGCCTAGAGCTTGCCTCTCACATTTTACAAGTAGCTGGCCTTTTAGGGGTTCTTTATGCTTTTACTTTGAGAGCTTGTGTAAAGCTGTCTTGTTAACACCACTGTGCTGCTAATTGCCACTCTACAAAGTAGGTAGGAAACGATCTGAGCAATTCTGTTTCCTGAAACGTAAACCATTCTATGATTCTATGTATTGTCTTTATTATTATTATTGTTATTGTTGTTATTATTATTATTATCATCCTGCTCCTCCTCATCATCATTGTTTTACATCAGGCCACTTGTTCTTGTGTTCTTGTGCCGAAATAACAGTCTGTGAGCCTCACTTTAGTCTCACCATTTCTGATATCTCCACCAAATCCCTTTCCTTGTCAGGCTTTCTGAGAAGGGCAGCAACTTCTGTTACTCAGCTTTTTGGAAATGGCAGGGTGCCAGAACTATGCTTGTTATCAAAGAAGGAAGAACTCAAGCTAAGACATCACCAGCTTCTCATGTCAGTGTTTATGTCCTTACCAAGAATCAATTACTTGCAAGATCATGGATCAGAATACGTTAAGTATCTGGATAAAACATAGCAGAATGAAGAAAAATAATTTCAGAATATTAAATGAGTTGGAGCATAACAAAAATAGCTCTGGAGGTTTAGTGATTCAGGTAACAACTTCATCTCAGAAGGGGTAAAAGTGCCAATAACTCACAGTGTGGCTTTGACAACTTATAAGTCATTTCAAACATTTCAAAGCAAAGTGTGGAAATGGTTAATATGAGGAAAAAAATCTGATCAATTTTCAATAGCCAATTGAACACAGGACATATCAACTCAGCTTCAGTGTTTCCCCCAGTATGTTCCCCTGTTATATCCTGGGAAAGTAAAATGGTGTAACAGGAAAGGTTTAGTAGAGCTAGAAGGTGTCAATGCTGGATGTCAAAGAGGAATAAGCCCTAAGCCAGAGTACAGGGAAACAACTTGGGAATGGTATTCCTTCCAATTGCCCCAAGATATATACCTGAAAAAAATATTTTGAAACACATAGTTAGGGTACCTTTTCTTTCATATTTTTGCTCATTCTTCCAGATGTTGACCTGAACTATAAGCAGAAACTGCAGGAAACTGAAAGAAGAACCATTATGAAATCATGTCAAGTTGCAGTTTCGTATGCTTAACGTTCAATAAGTCAGAATAAATCTGTGCATCTTGGAATGTTTTTCCAATACAAGTAAAAAATGTTCAGATTTTTAAGGTCTGGCACCAATCCCTCCATCATCAACAATTATTTTAAGTCAGGGTTATCAATTACAGGTCTGCAATGATTTAAACTTCTGACATTCAGAAAGAATATAAAATCTGTTTGCTTTTATAAAATGTTATGAAAGTAAGTATTCCTCCATGTTTTGGTTAATTCATGTTTGTAATTCCTGTTTAAGCATATTAAAGAGATGATGATTGAACAACAAAAGTCGGATTCAGTCTGAACTTTCCAATAAGTCGAGGATCTTTGAAGTGGGTCTCTTAAAGGTCTGAGCCCATCTTTAGTTTATATATATATGAACGTGTTATATATATATATATATATATATATATATATATATATAACACGTTCATTTTAAGTAAACTTGCATTTATTAATAACATGCAAAATGGTTGCTTTTGGATCAAGTGGTTCAGACAAGGCTGGCTTCTGTATCCTCTCTTCTTCACACCTGTGTAACTTCACCGACTTCAGAGGATTCAATTTAGAGTCAATTTAGCCGACAATGAAGGAACCTGGTCATAGTTCAACTTTTGTACATTGTTTCTACATGAAGATATTTCTACAGTGGGCCAAATTCTCCTGTCACTCCCATCTGTAGTATCTCCGTTGGCTACAGCTGAGCTATTTCAGATTTACTCAAGCAGAACTGAGATGTGATTCTAGTCCAATAAATAGAACTCCATTTATATGTGTGCTTCTGTGACAAGCTTTAGCTGGGTTGTAACACATTTCTGTTTAATGGTACTTAAAATAATGAAAAGCTCTGGAAAGCGATGCTTTCTTCGGCGTATTATGTTTTCCTGATCCGAATGATACCGGTGACATGTTCATCAGAGGAACAAAAGATTTGAAAGAGCTGGCCTTGGGATCCAGAGAGGCAGGGAGGGCTTGCACAAGCCTTACATGGTTGGAAAGAGCCATCTGCTGGGCACAGGCACGGCCACAGCAGCAGCCAGGGGACCTTTGGAGCCAGCCCTGGACCAGTCACCCCACCGTGTGGCCAGCCCGGGAACTGGGGGTGGTGGAGACCTCCGGGCAGCTGCCACGGCCCTG